CTGGTGATATGGGATTTATAATTATTGCTTTGCAGGTTAGGAAGTTCCAAGAGATTTAAGTGACTTGTCGTAAGACCCCAGTGTCAACAAGAGGTAGGGTAGGCGTTTAAACCCAGTTCTGGCAACCTCCAAAGTCCCTGCTTTCAAATCTTTTTCTACATTTACTTTTTTTCGCTGTCAAAACATTTCTTTCTCCCGGACTCAGGTTTCGCCCTAGCTTTGCCATCGATATGTCCTTAGACATGTCAGGTAACTCGTTTTGCCTCTTTGTGGTAAGTTTCTGATCTTGAAAATAGGACTAACAACGTTCCTCTTGCCTGCCTCCCGCAGATGTTATGAAGGATCAATATAAAAGTATTTCAGAAAGTCTGCAACCTAAACAAGTGCAAATTACCATCATAGGTTTTTTGTTTTTTTTTTTTTGTAATTTAGAGATGGGGTCTTGTTCCGTCATCCAGGCTGGAGAGCACTGGTATGATCATAGCTCTCTGCAACCTTGAACTCTTAGCATTAAGCAATCTGCCCATCTCAGCTTCCCAAAGTGCTGGGATCGCGGGCATGAACCACCATGCCTGCCCTCATTATTGTAGTTGTTATTGCTCACCTTGTGCACCGTCCACTGGAGGGTTCAGAAGACTCCCTCCTAAAGATGCAAGGCTCCTCGTATAGACAGAAATGGATATCACTTGCTGAAGAACATACCGTATCAGTTAGGATGTTTTCAGATGATAGCAACGGAACCCTGACTCAACTGCTGTAACCACAAAGGATTTATTCATCTAGTCAGAAGTTCCAAGGCTGCACAGCTCCAAGGTTAGTTAATCCATGGGCTTCTAGATATCCTAAGTGAGCAAAGCTCCTGTCTTTCAGCTCTACCCCCTACTCAATGGTTTGGCTTGTATTGAAGCTAGCTCATTTCATGGAAGTAAGATGGTAGCCTCCAGCCCCACTTACAACACCTACATCCAGCAGAAGAGGCTGAAGCTGCCTCCTTTGTCTTCCTAGTAATCTCTTCTTATAAGCAAAATACTTTCCCAGGTGCCCCTATGCTCCCACAAACACTCCTTCACATGTCACTGGGAAAAACTGCACCACAGGCTCTTGCCTAAAGCAGTGCCTGGAAAAGACACGGAATGACCAGCCACACAGCAGCATGGAGGAAGGTGGATTCTCCAAGTGAAGCCAGGGTTCTGGTCCAAGGATGAGAGGGAGGGTAGCCCCTGGTAAGCAACCAACCAACCATATCTGCCCTAGAAAAGCAATTAAATCACTCCGCTATGATTGACTGTAGTCCTGCCAAGTCTCCGAAGGTCTCTAAAAGAGAAAACAGCACAGTATTCTCTCACCTCCCCACCCTTCACTTCCATTTCATTTCAACCCAGTTCTAGTTTAAAGCATTCCATTTCATTTCGCATTCACAGACTTAAAGAGCCTTCTTCTGCCTCCCTGGGTCTCTCACGTTTCTTTATTTTGGATACAGCTTGTACCAATCAGTGCCAGACCCTGAAAGACTGCTTTCCACTTTCTCGTCCAAGTTTTCCCAAGTGAGACAGAGAGGACTCTAGAATGGGAAGGCTCTTCAAGTGGCCTTAATTAAGTTCCACTCTATCTACCGTCTGAATCACAGCACCCTCGTCAAGGCAAGCCTCTGCAACGTTGCTGCCTTTATCACCTTCCCAAGAGATTTAGTCTCTAGTGAACAGTCTCTCTCCTACATTCCAGAAAGAGAAGGCCCTTGTTCTGAACGGGCAGTGTGGAGCGACCAAGCATGCAGGCAGGTCTGGATTTAGCTCAGTGGTCTGTGAATCACAGTGACTGGTACATTCCAGGAAAGAAGATCCGGCAGTCCAGATGAGCCTCAAGGTTAACTACGGAAGAACAGGTAATCACCATTCGGGAGTAATTCTCACACTGTCCACCCATCGGTGCTGAGTCTCAGCCCAAGGATATTTTTAGCTTTGGAGTCCACTTGCGTTTCCTTTCTCTCCCTCTGTTTACCCTAAAATTAACATTAATCAACATTCGGCTCCCAGCACACTATGCTCCCGCCACGTAATTATAACAAGTTTCCTGATATGTTTTGTTGTTTGGCCTTAAATCCTCAGCTTGTGTCTCTGAGTCAAGGCAAGCCTTTGCAGCAGTGAATCAGACTCTGCGGGGCCGTGGATCCTCCAAGAGGGACCCTCCAATACTATGTGAGGGAGGTTGTCATAGCCCACACTCACAGCAACAGTCTTCCAAGGAAGCCAAGAGGAATATATTTAGGCTTTGTGTTATGAAGAAATTATATGGCACAAAACCAGTGACATTTTGATTATTGTCACTTAGAGACCACCAAAATAGTTATAAGCAGAGACAGATGAGCTTGGATAGCCAGTCCTTCTGCAAATGTTCTAAAAACCACACAAAAACCTCAAACTTGATGCCATTCCTTGGCTTTCTGATGCTAATTCTCGTGATCACGATTAGGCGTCTCAAAACACTAGTAAGAAAATTTCTTTTCCTCATTCTCTGACCAGAAGAGGAAAATGAAGATACTGTATAACTCCACCACTGGGTGATAGACATTATACCTCTTTATTACACCAAAAGATAAATCCACTAACGATATTGGCTCCACAGGGGTGGAAGGATTATGAAAATGACAATGAACAGTTTCTCTGTAATCAAAAGTGGGAACTCTTAGAGCTTATTAGCAGGTTCAGCACTATAAAGGGGTCCTAAGCCGCTAAGCTCCATTCTGGACATTCAGAAATTACCTGTCAGTTTGAAAAGTGGTCACTTGTTTTTGAAACACCTTCTACATTTATTTCATGTGAGTCTCAAAGCCTTTGAGATAGATAGGACAGGATTTTTTTTTTTTTTCAAAATTAATGAAATTGAGTCAAAGAGGTTAAGTGACTTACCCAAGACCAATGTGGGGTAACTGTATGTATCACTTTGCCCAGGGCAGTCCCTGTTTCCATATAGTCTTCCGTAGTAACTGTTAAGGGGCTTCCGTTGACTCTCAAGAGTGTCTTTGAAAGATAAAGTATATTGTCTCCCTAACCATAGGTCAAAATCGGCACCTAGTCTTATAACCCTTGTTCCAAGCTATTATGGCCGTGTCTCCAACATGGTCACTGAAAAACCAGTCAGTCAACAAAATGAGCCCTCGTCCTCTGGCTCCCCCATGGATTATAGCAACTGACAAATCAAGTGAAACTCACCTGAGAAAGAAGAACGTCTTGCTGGCAATGGTCGTGGCACCAAAGGTGACTTCCTCCAGACTCACAGCGGCTGACTCAATACTGCCACAGCAGCCAGACTTCCCCAAAGTTCCAAATGTCAAACGCTACTTAAAAATACCCAGCACCCATCACCTCTGTTTGCACTCGTCTACCCAAAATGACCACTGTACCCTTCATCTTCCCTGATCCCAGGCCAGTTATTCATTTCAGCACTAAATTTACCTCCTGTTCACGCCAACCTTATACTACCTTATGGTAAAATAAGGAAATCAGAAACTGATGTTCTGATTCTGAGGAGACGGAAAAATTCGTATACATATTAGACAAAAAAAAACTCCTGTTAATCATAGAATCTAGAGCTAGAGGCACTAGTTTGGGTAAATGAAAGTCATAAGACCCTTATTTTAAGATGTGACTTTAACCACACTGGGAGAGACTAGCTACACCTTTTACTTTTCTTTCCTATTAAAGGGAGATATAAATAATGTGAGTTTTCAGGACAGAAAGAATGCAAAGAAACTCAATGCTTAGTTTTAAAGACTGTATTTCATGAGCTGCCTTATCCTTTTTTTCTTTTTTTTCTGCATTCCTCCATCTAATTTTGACTGGTTTTCTCTCCAGGACGCATGTTCTTGGAAGAAACCACGGAGGTGAGCTAGGGGCAGTGGCTCACGCTTTTAACCCCAGCCCTCTAGGAGGCCAAGGCGGTAAGATCACAAGGTCAGAAGTTCTAGACCAGCCTGGCCAACGTAGTGAAACCCCATCTCTACTAAAATTACAAAAAAAAAAAAAAATAGCCAGGCATGGTGGCGCAGGCTGTAATCCCAGCTACTCAGGAGGCTGAGGCAGGAGAATTGCCTGAACCCAGGAGGCAGAGGTTGCAGTGAGCTGAGATCGCGCCATTGCACTGCAGCCTGGGTAACAAGAGTGAAACTCCGTCTCAAAAAAAAAAAAAAAAAAAGGAAGAAGGAAAAAGAAAGAAACCACAGAGGCGAGTCCTCTCCTGCTCCCAATGGTGTCGCTTACTCTAAATGTGTGTATTTAGGGGTCATTTTCCATCGAGCATTTGAAATTGTGCTTGTGATGGCCGTGGGAGTCACGAATCATTCCATAAACAACTCCATAGTAAGTAATGGAGTTATTCATGGAATGGTTTGGGGCGTTATCTCTATTTTGCTTTGTGATGGTGGCGGTTTTAACCTTTGTTTTGGGTCCAGGGTACATGTGCAAGTTTGTTACACAGGTAAGCTCATGTCACGGGGGTTTGTTGTACAGATTATTTCGTCACTGGGGTACTAAGCCCAGTACACGATAGATATTTTCCTGATCCTCTCCCTCCTCCCACCCTTCACCCCCAAGTAGGCCCGGGTGTGCGTTGCTCCCCTCTTCGTATCCACACGTTCTCATCGCCTAGCTCCCACTGTCACCTCCATTTTGGAGACTCCTGTAACTCTGTCACCCCTCCAGAAGGGGAGCTGCGAGGGGCGAGGGGCTCGGCCACACCCGAGCTGTACTACCTCCTCCTCCCCCTCCACCTCCCCCTCCTCCCCCTCCTCCCCCTCCTCCCCCTCCTCCCTCTCCTCCCCCCTCCCTCTCCTCCCCCTCCTCCCCCTCCTCCCCCTCCTCCCTCTCCTCCCCCTCCACCTTCCCCTCCTCCCCCTCCTCCCCCTCCTCCCTCTCCTCCCCTTCCTCCCCCTCCTCCCCCTCCTCCCTCTCCTCCCCCTCCTCCTCTTCTGCTCTTCCTGCCACGGCCGCGCCCCTTCTGGCTCCTGCAGCCCAGGAAGGCTCCCTCACTGCTTAGCAACTCCTCCCCGTGACCTGGGCAACACTCAAGATGGAGGCAAACAAGCCTCGGCGTGCCCTCTGCTCCGAAAAACAGAGGACGCCACGGAAAGCCCAGGCTCAACCCTGCACCTCAGAGCCGCCGAGGGCCACTGCCACCAGGGCAGCCTGGAAGGAGGGGGGCCAGAGTCTGTCCAGGTGAGGAGCCCAGCCCTGCGATGAGAGGGGTTGGGGGAGGGGGTTAATCTCAGGGCTGCCACTTAGGAACCCTGGTGACCCAGGGCAAACTTCCCATTCTCACTGGGGCTGGTTTCCCTCCTGAAAGAACTGCATAGCAGTCCAGGACCACCTCTGCCCACGGCTGTCACTCACACTCATCCCAGCCCAGGCTACTGCAGGTGCTGGGCACACCTAGTCTCCATCCTGTGGCCACCTGGTGCAGAGGACGTTATTCTCCCCACTTCACACATGAGGTGACATTAAGTCACCCCACTCCCAAGGCCACACAGCACAGGGAGAGCTGGCACTTGGGTTTGACTCTAAGTCTCTCTGGCTCTATGGGTTAGAACACACTGCCTCTCCTCTGAGGGCTGCTGGGGGAGCAATAAAATAAGACAGGGTGACAGGCTTTGGAAATTGGCCTCCTGGTCTGAGCTGTCTTTGGTAACCCACCTCTCTGTCCCCCACATCCTATGGGTTCACAGGCACTTCACAGAGTGGAGACCAAGGCGGGGACCCTTGTTCTGTGACCTCGTGCACTGCCACTGTCAGACACTCTGCAGAGGCAGTGAAGGGAAATGAAGCCAGAACACTCTGTGCCAGGAATTCTTTGAGAATAATTATCTCACGGGTCAGTCGGAGTTGCCAGCCAGCCAGCTGCTCCAGCACAGATGTCACTGATTCCTCAGGGTCTGTCTCCGGGTCCCTTGTTCTAGCCGAGACAAGCACACACGCCCCCACCCAGTCACTTTCCCTCTTCTCTACCTTCTCCCTTATTATCTCAATTACCATCCCAAAAGAGGCCCCGCAAATGAAGATGGGTTTGGAACCGCAATGGTCAACATGCTTAATAATAACAATTATATGATTATATAGCTCTGCTCTAATAATATGTAATTACCCAATAATTACTATTAAACAGTGCAGTGGTGACCATTGAGGTCCCAGAACCCTTTAATTATCATTATCGCTGATCATGAAGCAGAGGATCGTTCTCTAACATTGTTTCTGTGTATCACAGACACCTCTTCCAAACTCCTAGAACATCTATTTATGGTTTCACTCTTGAGCTGAGGTCTCACAGGGAGACAGAAAACTTAAAACTCAGGCCATCTCCCGGTGCCCTAAGCACGTGACATGCAAATCTCAGGATTGACTTTCTCCCTCATCTCCAAGTCCGCACGTATCTGCAGAAGCTCCTCATCTGCGGCGATTGATGGGGAAAATCTCACATCAAAACGGCTAGAATGAAGTTATGGCCTCAACTTCTTCCCAAACTGCTTTAAGACACTGAGAAGACAGATGAATCATGGTCACTCCTGGGTGGAATTCAACAGTGTTCTCAAGGTCTCGGTTACACTGAGTTTAGAGGCCTTGACACTTTGCTTTCTCTAATCCGATACTTGCCCTCCCATGGAAACAAACACTGAATTTTATCTCTATTTTTTTTTTGCAGGATTCCACCTTCAAGATATGTTTTTCGGGGGCTTACAGGTGAAGGGGAAGTACAACAGTATAAGAATTTCTTCCTGAAAACTTTTTATGCTAAACGGATATAGGAAAAGTGAATTCTTTGGTTAAGAACTGTACAGAATTCCAAGCTCCATTTTTTCCCAGACTGCAAGTGGACCTCCAGAAAATGTAACTAGAGTTTATAAGCTAAGGAAAGATTTGCCTTTTCTGGTTTGAAACTCATACCCTTTTATTCCTAAGGGATGTCTGATTCATAAGCAGTAGAATGGGCTAAAAATCAGCCCCCTGTCTATGGGCGAAGAGATTTCTAGCTTGGAGACCAAGGTATATGAGAATAATGTGAACGTATTTCCTTCACATTAAACAATTACATTCTGATATTTTTAAAAGGAGAGAGAGAAAGCCAATCATTTTCCTATTCATCATGGTAAGAGACTGAAACAAATGTTTTTCCAGCTTAATCTACCAGCTACCATTAAGTGGCTAATCCTTTTAGATAATAATCTAAATTATCCCCCAAACCTGAGGGGATAGTGTGCGCAGATGAGAGAATGCGAATACGAACCCGTTTTTGAGGTCCTTACAGCACTTTGTTAGTTTCTCCTGGAAGAAAACTCTGTTAGTACAAAACACAATTAATGGCAAATGCCTGAGGGTTCTGGGTGGGACTCGCTCCTACTTTATGCCAAAAGATAAATGATGGAGATGGGTAGCTCTTTCCTTTCTTGTGTTCCGTGTTCGTGCCACCCCTCTTCTCTGTGACAAAGTCAGCCTGTGCCTTACAGGTTGAATGTGACACAGAACCCATTCGATTTATCCCCAGTGGGTGACTGAGGCAGCTCTCTCTGCCCGTCTTGGTGCCCACCGGGCAGCTGAGCTTGCCAAGTCCAAACCCAAGCCTCAGTGTCAAGTATCCGTCTTGGGTTTTGGGTTAGAACATTCCAAGTCCCAGAGCAAGCGAAGGCAGACCTGCTCGAAACCTTTTGATGGATTTCTGGTGCATTGAGGAGGGAACCAGAGCGGACCTCAGCCTAGAAGATTCCCTAGGAACAGTTTCTCCAGCTTCAGCAGAAGAGCACTCCTAGCCCCAATCATGATATCCACCAACACCAGCTTCCAAGCTCTTCTCTTCTTTAGCCATCTTTCCCTACCCCTAGCGTGATCTTATCTAGGGGTAGTGATCTTATCTTATGTTTGTCAAGCTCACTCCCACTCATCCTCAGAGTTCAACTGGAAAGCCATTTTCTTAGAGGCCTGCTGGGACCTACCAATCTGAAGCTGTCAATTGTGTTCATGCTTCCAAGCACTTTTAAAATAAGTTATCATTAAGAGAAATAAGTACAGGCTGGGCACGGTGGCTCACGCCTGTAATCCCAGCACTTTGGGAGGCCCAGGCGGGTGGATCACCTGAGGTTGGGAGTTTGAGACCAGCCTGACCAACATGGAGAAACGCTGTCTCTACTAAAAATACAAAATTAGCCAGGTATGGTGGTACGTGCCTATAATCCCAGCTACTCAAGAGGCTGAGGCAAGAATTGCTTGAACCTGGGAGGTGGAGGTTGTGGTGAGCCGAGATCATGCCATTGCTCTCCAGCCTGGACAACAAGCGCAAAACTCCGTTTCCAAAAAAAAGAGAAGTCAGTACAAACTTGGCTGCCCACCTTTCTTCCACTCATTTATAAACTTCACGAGAGGAGAGAGTGTGTGTTTTGTTCATTTTTATTTGCCTGGTGTTGGGTACATAGTAATTTACAAATATTTGTGAAAAAAATGAGTTTAGGAAATGTAATGAAAGCAATATTTAAAGACACATCCTAAAGCCACCTTAGGAAGTAAGGGAAGAGGAGCAAATGTAGTGGAATAAATAGAGTTGGCATAAAGGGGTTGAGGTCCAGACCATCTAGCTCCAAAGCACAGAACGACACGTCCGGTCTTTATTCCACACTCCCCGCACTACTGGAATAACCTGGGAATTTGGCCCCATGTAGCATCTGAAGAACTGTCCACAGATAGTACAATACTCCCGGTTCAACACCGGCTTCAGCGGTTAACATTCTGTTCTCAGAAACCATCCAAAGGTCTTAGAAATGCTAATACCCTAGCATTCACATTGCATCCACCAGTATCTGTCACACCCAGAGACAGAGACAGGAACAACAACAAAAAGAAGCCTTTGCTGAATCATAAATCCCCACTTTTGGTTAAGAAACTGTGAGGACAGAGCTTACATGTGTGTCGACCTCAAAGTTAGGGAGGTGTTCCAACATAGCCTCCCTTCCCTCTGTAACCTACTGCAAGGGTGTAATTTACTATTTTATTTATAGCGTTTTTCTAGCTATATTTTTAATCTTTACTTAGGGATGATGAGCTCTGTAAGTTTACTACCTGCAGTATGAAGTTGTAATTTTACAAACTTCTTCGAAACCCTTGTTCTCTAATATTTCAAGCCACACTGTGCCCCTTCTCTTTCTTGCTCTCTCTCTCTCTCTCTCTCTCTCTCTCTCTCTTCCCCCCCACCACCATAGTTTATCAAATGGGAAAGGTCCTACTTGTCCTTTCTCCCTGCCTCTCCGCTGCTCATCTTAGCACTTTGGCCCTCCTGTGTCTGGTAGCTTCTTTATGGCCAGTTCCTTTCTCAATGGACTCGCTGTATAGAGAACCATTCAGAAGAATACGGTTTCTCTGCTACTGCTGCTGCTCAGAGGGTGACCTGAAGCAGCAGTACTCTGGGCTCATGAGGAATGCAGAATTCCAGCCCCCACCCTAGGTTCTGAATCTGAATCTGCTTAACTAAACAGTAGATGACTTCTTTGTCCATGGAAGTTTAAGGAGCTGCTCTAGAGAACCTTCATCTCAGTTCTCAAGAGCCTTTGCCAGGCCAAGCATGGTGGCTCATGCCTGTAATCCCAGCACTTTGGGAGGCTGAGGCAGGTGGATCATGAGGTCAGGAGTTCAAGACCAGCCTGGCCAATATGGAAACCCCATCTCTAGCAAAAATACAAAAATTAGCTGGGCATATCTGTAATCCCAGCTTCTTGGGATGCTGAGGCAGGAGAATCACTTGAAGCCAGGAGGCACAGGTTGCAGTAAGTCGAGATCATGCCACTGCACTCCAACCTGGGTGACAGAGCAAGACTCCATCTTGAAAAAAAAAAAAAATCCCTTCCCTGGGGAGCTCCTTCCCAGGTGGTCCCTGCCCCTGCCCCTGCAGCAGACCCTTTCCCTACACAGCAGCTAGCTGCTACTATGACCCAGTCTATTCCTCTCTTGGATTCAAAAGAGCTCAAGGGGTCTCAGGACTCTAAACTCCCAACAAATGATGGTTTCAGGGGTTCTGATAGTAAATATCTGCTGCTTTATGAATTTAATAAAGTTTTGTGAGCTACCACATGATCTTATATGTCAAGAGCGTCTCTACTTATATACATATTTGATATGTGTGTACATAATACATGGTAATGAAGTTCTCACAGTAGTTTATGTGAAACACACACCCCACATTCTGATCATATATAATATGTTCTAGAGAAAACAGCACAGCCTTTAGAATTAGACAGAACTGGGGCTTAGCCTGTCTCCACCACAACTAGTGGCGGAAGCTTGAGTAGGTCACAGGGCCTGTCTAACCCTCAGATTCCTCTTCTATAAAATGAGGGCAACTGTCACCTTGCAGAGTAGTTGTGGGATTATAAATGGGGTATAATCTGTGTTTGACGCAGTTCCTGGCACTCACCAGGTATGTAGCAACTTGTAGTCCTGTCGTCGGCGTTATCATCATCATACACACAGAATACAGGTTTCTGTTCGTGCCTAGATATTTAGCTACATCCCACGCAGTTCTCAATCAATCCCACACTCCTTCTTGCTTAAACTGGCCCTGGTCAGTGCTTTAATCAGATGGCTTCTTGATCCTAAAGCCTCCCTTGGAAGTTTCCCCACAAATGGGCACAAAGTTAGTTCTGCAGCTGTAAGGCCGTCTGGGCACACGGTCAGCCACCTTTGTCAATTCCTCAACTTTTCAGAGAGAAGCATCTAACCAACCCCGTCATTCCTGACCACTCGAGTTCCTGACTCACTCTAAGGCAGCGGTTCTCAATGAGGGCACAAAAATCTCAACAGGGCACATTGGCAGTGTTCTGGAGATGTTTTTGGTTGTCACTTGGGGAGAGGAAGGATGCTAATGGCACCTAGTGGGTGGAGACCAGGGACGCTGCTACACATCCTTCAGTGTATTTCTCCATCATGGACAGCCCTCCACAATGGGGAAACGTCTGGCTCCCAGTTGAGAGGAGCACAGTACTGAGGTTGAGAAGCTGATCTAGTTTAAAGTTGGGATGGCATTCAACTCAGTAAGTGGCCTCCTTACCACTAAACTGGTATCTTTCATTTTTTTCGCTGTCTTCCATTTCCCCTCACAAGGAGGCCCTCAAACTCACTTAACCCTTTATGCCCCATCAGGAGTTTCAAGTCTCTCTGGTTGGCCTGGCAGCTCATTTCCTGCTGGAAATGAGTGTTGTTGCCTTTGTTTATTTCATAGCTGGAACAACTTGGTGGGTGCAGGGAGAGCCACACAGACACATCCTATGGCGTGTCATCCATGCTGCCACTCGACAGGAAGGAAGATGCACAAGGATTCTGGCACAAGGCCTCATATGTGCTTGATTCTTTCTCTGTCTCTTGACCAATTTGGCCCAATCGGATAAATGAATTTTTCTCCTGTGAATGAAGACAGAGACTTCCCTTCCTCTGCCCTAGAGAAGTGAGCAAGGAAGCAAGCATGCAGCCCTGATCTCTTCTGGGAGTCATCATATGGCCTTGAGGAGAGCAAGGTTGAGAATGAAACCACTGCCAAGGACATCATAGCAGAAAGACAGACAGAAAGAACCTGGGTCCTTGTGAACAGAGTCATGTCCAACAGACCCAGTCCTTAAGTACACTCCGGTTCTTGCTGTGAGAGGTGCTCTGCCTCCCTGTCTGTCAGTTTCTCACTTAGAGGAAGAGCACCCTAACTGATCATGTATCCATCTCGGCTGAACTAGCCACTGCAACAATCAAGAGCCCTCCTTCCAAAAAGGTTAGAAATTTTATACTCCAACTCAAGACCTTCACCGAAGCTGCCTGGGTCCACTGCCACCCCATTTCCTTCCCCTGTCCTCTCCTTCCTAAGTTCACCAGCCAAACCTCTTTCCCTCTCTGCTCCTCAGCCCACACCCATCCCCGCCAGGGCTTTGTGGCCTTACTTGTACAATTTACCCACCATGGCCTCAGGTACGAGGGTTTATGACGTCCATAACAAGTACTTGCTAATCTCTCAGAAGCCACCGGGTATATGGAATCCTGCAGTTTATCTGGATGATCAAACTATTTCATTTTTTATTCTTCTTAGTTGGCATCAGTGCCTTAGAATAGAATTTGGATGTGTGCTTTGCCTAAAAGGAAAGAGCTGACAGAGCTGGCAACTGGCAATGTATCAGTTCCACCTCAAGGAAATCAACAGGGAGAAGCTAATGAAACGGAACAGTTCTCATATTAACCAGTTAGCTATTCAGCTTAGGACAGATGTGGAAAATAAGCCCATATGAGACAAATTCATTAGAGTGAAATTATCCATTCAACACCTTGATATCTGAGCAGACTGATGTTTCACAATTATTATAATTATGATCATGGGATAAAGAGAGCCAAACTTTCGAAAGAAGACTTGAAAACCATTAAAAATTCTAGCACTACCCTGTGAGATGGAAATAATGAGCTGGTCACAGATCCCCAGGATATCAGCAATTGCTCTAAATCCTTCTTGATGAGGAATCTGTGACTCCGAACTCAACATTAATTCAAATGCAAATAATATCTCTCCCCCCTGAGAATCATTATTCCTGATTCAGCAGGCAGTTTAATGGGAAATCTGCAGGTGCACAACAGACTTTGAACCAGAGACGTTGTTCCCACTCCAGATGAAGCTTTGACTCCCGAACACATGGAATCTGGCAGTCAGAGTCCAGAGATTCGAACTCTGTCAGTGCCTCTGAGATGGTAGTCCCTGGGTAAAGCATATGGAGCTCAGTAGGGCATGGATCTGGTGGCTGCATCCTGGAAAATGTCACAGACCCCTGTCTGCTTCTCTGAAACACACACCCCGTCGCAGTAGCTGTTAACCACCTCAACCCTTTGCATGGAAGTTCTTAACTACCACCCGCAGAAGACCAGTCAGCCTCCAGCCTTGTCATCTCGAGGTAACCCACAGAGAAGAAAAGCATCTAAAGCGGGAAGCATCTAGAATTACCTGGCTCAGGTTGGACTGTCTGATACTGGGAAAATTACACGGCCATTCTGTACCTCAGTTTCTCCATTAGCAAAATAAGAAAACTAATAACGTCTGCCTTGTAGGACTGTGGTATGGTGTAAGAGCTATAACACACTTTTCATAGGCAAGATCATAGAAAGGTTCACAGTACAGACTCTGAAACCAGACTTCCTCGTCCGAATCTGGGCTCTGCTGCTTACTTACTTAAAACCTTGGCAAAACAAACTTTAACATTAGTTACCCCCATGTAAAATGGGGGTGATAATATTAACAACCTGAGTTATTATAAAAAATTAACACTTTCAAAGAATTTAAACCAGTGACTGACTTACATACCAAACACTGTGTAATCACTTACGGCATAAGCAGCGCTCGGGCCATAATGAGAGCTCAGTAAATGTTCTATGTTAGCACAAGCATTGTCAGTATTTCCGTGAGTCAGTCATAACACCATAGAAGAAACAGACAATAATATTTCCAAAGATAGAATAGAAAGAGGCAAGGTACTTCCAGTTAGAAAGTACCTCTCAGCAAATTTTTTTTTTAACCAGGTTTTATATGTGTAATACTCTTTTCAGGATTCTGTAACAAAATGCTTCAGACTGGCTGGCTTAAACGACAGAAACTCATTGCTTCACAGGTCCGGAGACGGTGGTCCAAGATCAGGGTGTCAGCACGTTGCATTCTGGTGCGGACTCTCTTCCTGACTTGAAGACTATGCGTTCTCATTGTGTCTTCACATGGGAGAAACAGAGAGAGAGAGCTTGGCCTCTTCCTGTAAAACCACAGTCCACTGGATTAGAGGCCCGTTCTGAGGACCTCATTTAAGCTTTGGTGTCTCCTAAAGGGCCCGTCTCCAGATATAGTCACATTGCGGCTTAAGGCTTTGACACACGAGATTTGAGGGGGATACGATTCAGTCTATAGCAATATCACAAGAGAAAGGCCGTGTGATGCTTTGGCATACCCTGGTGACTCAGGGATGGCCAACTAGAAATACAACAGGTACCCAAATGCCATCCTTACTGAGAAGTCTGGAAACGTATTCCAACACAGAAGAGACACGGTTTAGCAAGGTGGGAAGCTACCCTATGGCCGTGTGTGGCGAGCACCGGTCTCACCAGCCATGGACACATGAAGTCCTTCAGTGCTTAACAATGCCGAGTCATATCGTAGATTATGTTCCAGAATTACACCCACACGGCATGTGCGGCAGATAAGCTGTCCTTACCCAAGAAGTATCAACACCACAACAGTCCTTGCTTGTCAGTCTGGCAGGGTCAGAAAGACCTGCCTGGAGTCAGTGTCTCTTAAAGCAACTGCTGGAAAAGTGACACCTAATTATTCCAAGAACAGAGTTATAAGAGACATGCTGATTCAACAAATGGGTAACTATATATACTTGTTTTATTTGATAAATCTATCCCTAAGAAATGGTGTGCAGAAAAAAAAATCGGAGGCACAAATCATGATGAATATTCAGTTAAAACAAGCCTGCAGCAAATCTGAAAACTCTATGAAAATACAAATAATCACCCCTCATTTCAGCTTTTGAGGTTCTTTTCTGTTATTATTATAACTTGATAGACCCATCGAGTTTACATTAGCCAGGATTTATATTTTTTATGAGGGCCTTTACCTGACTATTACTTCTTTTATTCTAGATTGCAGTAGCAAGAATTTAAAGATGTTACAAGGTAAGTGAGAGCTGAGATGAACTTCGGTCCTACAGAACTTTCTCTTGGTTATTTCAGGGCCAGTGGGCTTTCAAGTACTTGCTCGGTACATAGGAATCCCTGCACCTCACCACACTTCGCAGATGTGTCATTGTCAGAGGTTACAATTTCATTGTGATCGCCTTACAATGTGATTGGAATCCTGTAATAGCTAAAGCCAGTTTATTCTCAAGGACAACATTTAAAGCAAAAAGGGAAAATCTATACATATGTGAAAAAAAGAAAAGAAAAAAATGTGTCTCCTTGACCTTCAGTGTTGGGGGAAATGACTAGAAATAAACACAATTTTCTCCTTTGCTTCTAGGTCAACTTAATCTCCAAGGTTTTTCTAACTTATTATCAATT